ATTGTCCAAACTATGTTTATTGTTAAATTTTTTTTTTAGTTTTTAATATCTCTTAAAAATAAGCACTACACAAAATGTGATTGTATTTGAAAATAATATAAAATAAGTAAAATCTAAGTTCTAGATAATTTTCTGTAATTGAAAGATATTATAGTCAACTATATATATGAAAAATGAATAAAAATTCAATAATACTAATTATAAACTATTTTATTACTCTAAAAGTATATTTTATGTTATTTAAAAATATTTTTAAATGTATTATTACTATTTTGTGAACTTTCCTTTTTTATGAAATTATATTATATATACATATTTTTATGTTATTTAAAAATATTTTAAATGTATTATTACTATTTTGTCAACTTTCCTTTTTATGAAATCATATTATATATACATATATTTTCGTTTTAAATTTGTTTTTTATGACTTTATAAAAAATGCTTTTTTATTACATATCTTTTTGGAAATTTTTGAAAAGGAAAAACTAAAAATAAAAGAATTAATAATAATAGTTTCAACTATTTTTAATTCATTAAGGGTATCAATGTAATCAACCATCGTGAGAATGAACGTGAGAATGACACATAAGAAACTGACTTCTCAAATAATATTATAGAGATCTCACTCTATAATAGAGTGAAAAATAGGTTTACTCCAAATATAGAGTAACTTGTTTTTTTTTTTATCACTCTATTTTTCATTCTAAAATAGAGTACCATTGGAGTAAACTCCAACTCTATTATAGAGTGACTCTATTTTAAAATGAAAAATAGTGTAAACCATTGGAGATGGTCTAAGTACTTGCTACTATACTGATCAAGAACTCTAAGTACAATCTCCAAAACCTAGGATTTATTCAAAAGTTCCTACCCTCCCGCTACATCCATCACAAGATGCATAAATCTCTAAGTACAATTATCTCCTCTATTTATAGTATTCTCTCTTTATCTTCAGTAACAGCTTGCTGCCACGTCACTGATATCGATGGTAGTGTTAGGATATCTTGTGACTGAGCTTTCTCGGCAGTTTCTGTAGGAGTATCTTTAGAGGTTTCTTAGCTCTGTATCTTTATATGTTCGCTCAAGGATGGGATAAGTAGATGCATCTTTAGTAAAGGTTTTGAGTGGATCTCAAGAAAATGAAAACTCAAGAAACACATGTTCAAGGTTTGCCTATGTAGTAATATCTTTCTTGTTTTCATCTTTATTGACTAGCAGGAGAATGCAGCTTTTTATTTTGTATTGAGGACAGAGCTCTTCTCTGCAGGGACTGTGATGAGGCGACCCATGCACCTAATACTCGCTTTGCTAATCACCAGAGGTTCTTGGCCACTGGAATCTGAGTCGCTCTGAGTTCCACTAGTTGCAGTAAATAATTGGAGAACAATTCCGAACCACTAACCAGCAGAGTGCAAAGCAGATTCTCTCTAAACCGCCAACTCAACAGCCTTCTGTTCTGTCTCCATTGGCTGGAGACGAATTCTCTTGCTACTCTCATCTTGAGTTCAGTAACAAGGTGAGAGGTGGTTTCACCAAATCCGTGTGCACCAAATGTGTTAGTTTGTCGGCTATTTTTGACATGCAAGTATCACGTGTTGATGTGCTTTAGCAGAAAGAGCAGCTCGATCTTGGTGAGCTAGACTGGCTTGCAGAGATGGGTTTCTCTGGTGAACAGCCTGATCAAGAAGCTCTACTGGTAGCTGAAACCCCGAGCTTTCTTATGTTCATTCCTACAATAAACCCATTAAATCCAACGTTTCCAACAAGAAGCCGAGGCTTGAGATTAGTTATGATGATGAAGATCACTTCTGTCGTTCATTGTCCCTGACCTAGGCTCTATGTAACTAGTAAGCTTATAGATTCACTTGGTTCGCATATGTAACTTATCTATACGTGTTAGGCTTAAACTTGGTAAAGAAAAACTTTTCTCTTTATTGGCAAGTGATGCCTTGAATTTGAAACATACGTCACTTTAAATCGTTACATTTGAAGAAGAGGGAAACAAAAACAGAGTAGGGTGCCCAACTTGTTTAAACAAGAATACAAAAGCGGAAACAGATTACGTGCAGAAAGCTTTACTTGTTTTGTCTTTTTATTTCTTTTCAAGAAAGCTGAGAACCTCAGCTTCTGAAGGAAGAGCTGGAATGGCTCCTTTCTTGGTTGTGGTGATTGCTCCACAAGCATTTGCAAATCTTAGCACCTTTCTCAATCTCTCTTCGTTCTGTATAAGATAATGAAAGTTAGAACCTATAATATCATCTTTAAGCTAATGAGGTTTTATTCAAATGGATGCTTACCTCTAGAATGGATTGATCCTCGGCAATCTTGTTTAGGAGGGCACCAACAAAGGAATCTCCAGCTCCAGTTGTATCCACGGCGTTCACATGGAAAGGGTCAACGGATCCACGGAAGTTCTACACAGTTTTAAAACCCATTTTTAGTGGAGGTCACAAAAGTCATTGACGTAGTAAACAAGCATACGAATCAAAGCAAAAGTAACTTCCTTTTCTTGATAAGAAGAAACAATAAACAGGTAACCATAGATATCACGACTTTTGTGACCCTTAATTGATTACAGTATGCAATAAGTATTTTCTGTAGGGTCTACGAGAAAAGCTAATTCAATTTTTAATTAAGCAGTTGGTGAGATCTACCAAACCAACTAAAAACCCACCAATATTCAATTAAATAACACATATGATTCCTGCAGCAGTATTGAAAATCACTCTGTTCTGACTATTATTTTTTCATCCTTTCTATAATCCTTTCCAAAAGCATGTTAATATAAAAGTTATTCCAGAATTATACTATATAGCATACTAGTTTGGCCTTCTGGTTTCACCCAATGGACACAACACAAAAGAGACAATGAAAATGATGGTAAATGCACATAAAGATGTTATAGTGTGTTTACCTTGGCGTAATACCGGCAACCCTTTTCACCGAGAGTGACAAGCAAAAGCTTCAAGTTGGGATGCCACAAGGACATTGCGGTCTCATCATCGATCTTGTTGCTTCCAGTTAGAAACTCAAGTTCAACGTCGCTTACCTTGATGATCTCAGCCTTGTCCCAGATGCTCATGATCTGTGTCTTGGCTTCTTCCTTTGATGGCCAAAGAGGCTCCCTGAGGTTAGGGTCGTAGGAAAGAAGAGCACCGGCTTCTTTGGCCACTTCCATTGCCTTCAAGTGAGCCGACCTACATGGCTCCACTATTAAGCTTATTGATCCATAGTGAAACACTTTAGCCTGCAAACAAATACATCACATTTGTTACAAAAATACACCCATCTACAAATCTCAAACTTTAACAGAATCTAGTAACCAAAAGACAACTTTGATGACAGGGAATAACTATAAAGGGACCCAATATGATATGAGTCTTTTGTGTATTGAGTATTAACTACGATGGGGGTCAATCATTATCAAACTGTTCAAGAAAAGCAAAAGGTTCTCTCCATTGAGATTAGCTGTAAAGGCAACAATTTAAGCAACAATACTCCAACTTGGTGATCACTTCACCATCGCCATAAAGATCAACTTTACACATATGTTGGTTGATATGCGAACGTTAACTTTTTAAAAACACCAAAATACTCACAAATTCAGTTCGGATCAAGAACACAGATTTTATCTCACTGCGAAACTACTTAACGGTATATATAAAACACCATACCATATATCTACAAATCAGAACATATATTATTTATTAGGGAAAAACTTCATTAGAGAAATCATCATTTAAAAGTAGATAGAAAAACATCACCACCCAAATTTCATTAAGATAAATCAATTGATTAACTCAGATGCTAATTGATAATATTAGCCTGGCTAAAAGTAGAGCCTTTATTATCTGGGAAAAAAAATAAAACTTTCAATTTTTTATCTGGGAAAAAAATAAAACTTTCATATATCACATTTTTTTTGTTATTTCAATTTTCGGATAATAAAAACAAAAACTTAGGTCGTTGCACGAATCACGTGACATCACGTGGATCTATGCTCATTCATGGGATCAAGAATACGACCCGCGAAAAAAACCCAGAGAAAAGTCACCGTCCGTGAACGTAGCACTATACACATTGAATGCAATCATCTCCTAAACGTTTCTAATAGCAATCAATAAGCGCACGCTTCCCTATTCTACACGTTCACGATCACGATCTACAAGTGTCCCTCTAAGATCTAACGACAGAGAAAAGAGATATCAATATTAAAACGTACGGATCTGATGAGTTCGAGGTTAAGTTCATCAGGACGGAGAAGCATATCGGCGCTAGGATTCCGATAAAACATAAACTCCCGATCTCCATCGGCCTTCAACGTCACGAACGCCAACGCCGTTCTAGCTCCCGTATCGAAGTTGATCCCCTGATCCGCGACGCCGTTCTTCCTCAGGATCCCGGCCAACATGTGGCCGAACTCGTCGTCGCCGAGCTTTCCGACGAAGGCGGATCGTCCGCCGAGACGGGAGACGGCGATGGCGACGTTGGCGGGAGCGCCGCCGGGTGCTTTGAGGAAGCCTGGTGCCTCGGCGAGCGAGACGCCGGACTCGGTGGGGACGAAGTCGATGAGCATCTCGCCGAAGCTGACGATGAGTGGTTTCTCGCCGGTGGGTGCCATCAGATCTGGAGAGCGGTGAGATCAAATCGAAAGGGAAGAGAGTTAATATATAAAATGAAGGAAGGGGAGGAGAGGAGAGGAGAGTGTTTATATAGAGTCTTGTTAACTGGTGAAGAAGCTAGCCACTTAATAATGATTTGATATTAAATGTTTTTTTTTTTGTTATGAAATATCCATAATCTAGAAAATATATGTGATTTCCAAAAACACGAGTTTTAATGAAATGCAAAAAAAAATTTGGTCAAAATCTTACCTATTCAAACCTTTGCCCGAATCGTCTATATATATTTTCTTTTAAAACTTATTTTTTTCTTTATATAAAATTGAAAAGTCCAGATAATCGTATATTAGTAATTACTCATAATGTTGATGACCATCGTAAATTGATGTGTGATATCAATGATTAGCAGACTTAGAGCATTTTTAATAACAAATACTAGTTGACTTTTAGTTTTGATTTTGATGTTTTTTATTTATGATAAATATTTTTTTTGAGCATTTCACATATTTCTGTTGCTAACCACCACTAGATACAATAACTATTTGTTTACAAATTATTTTAAACAGTATACTAAAATATATAAATCATTTTACTTAAAGCATCTCCAATGTATGTCTATATATTTCCCTCTAAAATAGAGTTATTTATAATAGATGTGAATTTACTCCAATGTATGTCTTTATAATAGAGTTTTTCTATTTTAGAGAAAATATAAGATAATGTTACATTTTGCCTCTATATTTTAAAGATGAAAATAGCATATCTCTATATTTTCTTCTATAAATAAAAGAACTCTATTATAGAGACATATATTAGAGAAAATTTACTTCTATAATAAAGATTTTTTATTTTAAAGGAAAATATAAAGATGGAAATAAATGTGGGTTGGAGATAGTCTTACGTATTTGTTTGATATGTTTGTCATTATTTATACAATTCAAAAGTAAACACACTCTTGAAAAATCGACGGATGAAAGTTATCTGCATCCTCATTAATGGTATTTTGATAATTTATTTTTAGGCTTACATATATATAGATATATATTGATTTGTTACAAATCATATCAAATATTACATATATCTGAATTATTCTCTCTTTTTCCATTAATTACTCTAACCATAATGTATTCTATATTTCATACATTTATATTGTGCTATATACCTTATATTACACGATTTAAATGTATAGATTTACAACATATAATTTTTTTCTTGATATTTTTTGGTATATGCATCATATATCAATTATATGATGCTATATTTCATATATTAATATTTTCATATAGTTGTACTACACCTTATATTTCAATGACTATATTTTATAAATCCATATTACTCTAACCATGATATGATGTTATATTTCATATATTAAGATTTTCATATAGTTGTACTACATCTTATATTTCAAAGACTATATGATATAAACTCATACTACACTGGCCTATTTTCTATAATTATTTTCCTACTAAAATAAATAAATTGCTTCATCTACAAGTTTATAAATTAACCACAATCAATATCGTGGTTATTTATTTTTTGGTTGGATTCCACAAATTTCGGTAACTTACTGTAGTTGGATTATCATAAACTGTTAAACATTAAACTTCTTATCTAATTCAAAATATCTTCAAGAAATATTCTTTATTCCTTAAAAGAGATATTTTTTAAAAAAAATCGTCTAAATGTTATGCCCTACCTTTGCGTAACCAAATGTATATCGTCCCTACCTATTATAAATATAGCTTCTTTTAACCACTATATTCATCATTCCTTGAAAAACCTAAAACAAAAATGGCGAATAATTTGCAGTTGTCTTTCTTGAGCGATATAAAACCGAGGAAGACTACATGTCGCATCCAAGTCAAAATCCTTCATACATTGAGACATTTCATGAAAGACATATGGAAGACCATGGAACTAATTCTTTGTGATGCAAATGTAAGTTTATCGTTTTATATAGATTTATGATTTAGATATCTTCATTTCGTAAGTTTATATATCTAATATAAAAGATATATGCCTATTAGTGGTCAAAGAGTAGTTTGTTGTCTTTGGGGTAAATTTGCTGAGAATCTTCATACAGTTAGCCAAGAAACAGAAGGCATGGTTATATGTCTTCTACGATTTGCTAAGATTCGGCAATATAGAGGTATTCCTTGAAAATGAAAACTTCTATTTCGATTTTGTACTAAATGACCATTGTTTATATAGTTGGAAATATGTTTCTACTAACTTAATGTTTTGATCACTCCTTCAATTTTCTGTTTTATGTCACAAGAAATTACTCAAATGCTTAAGATTTATTTTTGGTTATAGGAGAGGTCCAAATCTCAAATGCTCATGATGTAAGTAGGACTGCGAATCTAAGACATCACCTGCGGATCCTGCCCTGTTTGACCCGCTGCGAAGCAGGTGCGGGTCAAACAATTTGAAAAAATTGATTGGTGGGTGCGGATTATGAGTATTTTATGCGGGGCGGGTGCGGGTTAGTAGATTTTGATTCGCGGTTTTAGGGTTTAGGGTTTAGGCCATGGACCCATTCAATTTTGGTTTCAATTTAATATGTGTTTTGATTCTTCATACTCTTACAACACTTAATTTTCTGATTCTTGGTTCAACAAAAAACTGACTCGGTTATGCAAAACTCATTGAAAATATCATACTAAAAAATTAATATACATCAAATTTCACATATAAAAATATCATATAATAGAAATCGAATCATTTGATACATTTTATTACATCCAAAACCAAATCCACATTTCTCAAACACAGATTAAAATCTAGTAGTACTTTATAAAACATAAACACATAATTAAAGAGTAAAGATCTAAAATGTTATTTTGAAATACAGAGACTATACAATAATAGAATATATCAAATAAAACTGGGTTTGCTTTAAAAAAAAAAAGAAGATCAATAAAGAAAACCAAATACATTTTTGTTTGTTTTTGTTGATTTTACATTATCTGATCAAGAGAGAGAATGGTCATTACATGTGAATCAAATACTTCATTTTTGTAGTCAAAGATAAGAGATCTGGGAGTTAGATGTGCCGATTTTGGATGATTACAGAAAAGATTTTTTATAAGATAACTCGCAAATATGAACAAAATATTTAAATCTTACCAAATGAAATGATTCACGTTAAATAAGTTAGTGGTGCGTCACAGGCCTGGTCGGTGTTGACAAGTTAATTAATTTAATACTTTGTTATTAAAAACCACTTTTTAAAACAAGTTATTAATAGTTACTCATACAGGACTGAAATAGACAAATCTGTGGATTCCTCTGTTCGGTTTTATTTAAAACCAGCAAAGAATAGCTAAAGGTCCTGCATGTATAAAGGTGATATGGTCAATATTTTATTGACCCATTAGTGAGTTTCTTACAGTTTTTTTATTTTTATAAAAATAATTATAAGATCGACTCCATTTAAAAATGTGATTTTATAAAGTGGAGGAAATTACACTTCACAGTTCACACTCTCACACACATCAAATTCTGGATAAGAATGATAACTAACAAAAAGAATTATAATCTTTTGCAAAAAATAATTGATAAGAATACCATTTTTCAAACCAACTCTGATAATTCGAGACTCCTTTTTTTCTTAATTCGAGACTCCTTTCTATTGGTCAAACCCAAAACCAGACAGAATCTCAACTATAACAATTTTGATGCTGGCCACTCCGATAAAAGAAAAATCCAGATTTAATTTGTTTCAAGATCAGTCTGATTCGCCATTATCTGGTTAAAATCGAAACCATGCGCAGATAATTATTTGCTTGTTACATTTTTTTTCTTTTTTCTAGTCAAGAAATATTAGCACAAATTTCCAAGATTATTGGGAACAAAACTGAGATTTGTTAGTCATAAATTGTTAACATAACACAGTACAACTACAAAAGAAGAGGCTGCAAAGTGAGAGAGTTGTTCTGTTGATCTCTTGTTCTGCTAGCTTTGGTGATTATGTGGTCATGGACGATTAAGAGCCACTTTGCCATGTTTCCGCTAACCGTGCTGCCACAAAGAAAAAATGGTCAAACGTTTTGAAACAACCACAAAAATTAGTGTATCCAAAGTCATTGTAATGCTCATAACTTCAACCTATCAAACTGCTTGCTAGTTATTATCACAAGGAAGAAACTGTTACCTCAAGAGTTTAGGTAATTTATGACGCATGTTTAGCAACCAAGCATGGACCATTGCACGTGCAGCACCAGAAGACATAAGGTGCAAGTCCAAGCAGGACAGAAACACACTCTCCCAAACTTGCCTAGATCTTCCCTCAAGCAGTTGAGTTGAGCTCACTTGCTATAAAACAAAATGTTTTCAAAAATAAGCCTTTCCATTATTAGTAACGCATAAAATTCAATTCCAAAACTTGGCCTCTACAATATCAGTGCCATTTATACCTGACCAAAGTGCCAGAGCATAAGCATTGTAGAAGACAGCGAAACTACACACATCTAATCGTATCAACCTTAACAATTGGGCCATATAACTCACTAAGTTTCAAGAAAGACAGATTAGAATGGCGGAAAAGGTTACAACATTTGGTTTTATTTCCAGCTGATGCATTTTGTGGACAAGTTCTGATATACAAGAGAGCTCATGCATACCCCTCCTTACAATCTTTCTTCACAAAGTTATAAATCTTGATGGTTAACTGGCCAAATATCTGTATAACCGAATCATACCCTGTTTCAGTCAATTTAATTTGGAGAAGGAAAAGAGAACGATCCAACTTCTAAGGTACTAGCTCCACCATCTATAGGTTCATCTTCGACATTCTGGTACAAAATGAACTTACATGTTCTGTAAGATCATGAATAATTTAAGTGACTAACCATAGAGAAAGATACCTCTCTCAGAGAACAAAACTAGAACTGAAATTCAGACAAAAACCAATCACAATTCAGACAAAGATAAACACAATCTCAGTATTAAAGTTGTTTCTTAACCGCAGATTATAAAATAACATCATGATTGACTAAACGTCACAAGATAATACAAAAACTCAAAAAACCTGTCTCCTTTTAAAAAAGAAAATTTCAATTTCACTAATTCTTGATACTCTTAACCTCATCAGGAATAACTTTAAGATGCTTCCTCTGCTTAGACTTAGCAATCTTCTTCAACGTCTTAGGGTTGGTAATCTTCTGCAACTTGGTCCCCGTCCTCAAAACATTCTCAGCTTTCCTCTTCTCCCTCTCTTCCTTCTTCTTCCTCTTCTCCACCTTGTGACTCCTAATCTCCTCCTTAAGCTCATTCATCCTCTCCCTATACGCCTTCTTAATCTCCCTCTGCCTCTTCATCTCCTCCAGATCCGGCACCTTGTTCCTCACGAACCTCCCCGAAGATCTGTGCGTTCGCGGCGCCTTCCAGTTACGTCCCGAGACTTTCCCGGCGATTACGCCGTCGTACGTCGGTTTTCCGATGGCGACCGCCACAGGTTTGTCTGGATCTTCCGAGGAGGCGACGGCGCTGCGTTTCGCGGAGGGAGGGTGGGCGGAATCGATGTCCATCGAGGCTTCATCGGCGGCGGCGGCTTCTTGCTCTTGAGATTCGCGTTTGCGTTTGGCGGTTTTGCCGCCGAATCCTTCGTCGAGGCAGCGGAAATCAGTGGTGCAAGCCATTTTTCTTCTTGGTTGAGAGCAGCTAGGTTTAAGTTGTTGTTGGCTGTGAGGTGGTTTCGATATTATGTTTAGGGCTTTCGAGGTTTTATAGGAGTGTCCGGTTTTTGGCCTCCCGTCCAAATCCAATAATTGGTACCGAACCGGAGTCTTGATGTAATTCAATTTTTTTGGTTAATTGGTGCAACTTCCAATATTGAATTGAGATCCTAACCGGTCCTGACATTTATTAAGCGGTTAAAGAATTTTGGTCCCTTTAGTATTTCTACTACATTTTCTTCTTCTTTCTATTTAACATTTTTATACATAAACAATCTTATACAATAAAGTTGACTATTCTCCCTTCTTAAGGTGTCCACATCAGCTTTTGTGAAGGGGGCAAAAAAAGACACCTCAGCAATCAATTTTTTAAATTGAACCCTCAAAAATTTTCAATCCCGTGTTGGTCTAAATTGGTTTTGTTGTCTTGGTTTGATGTTTGGTGATGGGCTTGGTTTAGGATGGCCTATAAGCCCAAACTTGAAAGCCTTCCGTGAGTTTGTTTGCCGGTTGTCGTTGAGGCCTTTTTTTTAGGTTTTCTTTTTCCCGTGATATTCTTCCTCGTCTGTATCGCCGCCGGAGGCGCATATGAACTTTCGTAACCGCTCTCTTCTCCCATTAAACTCTTCTTTACTCCACCTTATGAGCCTTGACCACGGTTACGCCCATTATTGCATCTCTTCCACTCCCAAATAAACTGTATGTAGGTTGAATATAAATAACTATGTATCCAGAGATGTTGATCTTATTCCAGACGCTCGCGAAGAACAGAACAATCAAACGAATTCCGCGATGGTAAACTCCTACACGCTCCTTGCTGATTTGAAGGCCGGCCGGTGCTCGAACACGGCAGAGGTTCGACTTCTTCGGCTTTGGGAGGCGAGAAACACCAGCCTGAACAGCAGACGTTCAGGGGAACTCATGAGCATTGACATGTTGTTTGTCGATGAAAGTGTAAGGACACGGAAACTTTTAGTTTCTCTATTAATTTTTTTCTCTTACAATGATTTCAGTTTATGTGGATCTGTGAATGGTTTAGACAAGGTTTTCGTTGAGATTATATATTGATTTTTTTAAAAGCTTTACGATACAGCAATCTGTGTTTTATTGCTTGAATGATTTGTTTCTTATTTATTGTAGTCATCAGCTGGGCAAGGTTTAACAACCACTTAGTTAAAGCAGTAGAATCTCTTTCGTGTTGATCATAGAAGGTATGTTGCTAACCTGAGCTTTTTATATTTTTTTTCTGAGAAGCCAGTGGAGTATGAAAAGAAATTAACCAATCCCTAACACTTAATAATCAACTCGACTATCTCCCTCTCTTTTCATAACCAACTCAACTCACTTTGTTATAAAACCCCTAACTTACTATACTTCAAAACAAGAAATACTCCATCGCCATTACCTCTCTAACGTAGAAACTTGAAAAATTAATTAAAAATGTTTCTTTGGCTGGTTATTGTCTTCATGATCTCAGCTTCTGTCTTTTCCCATGAATTCAGACTCCATTGGTTCCAACCGCAAATGCTTCTACAAGTCTCACTGAGTGGGTTTCTGATAAACGGTTTCAAGTCGGAGACACGAGTTGTAAGTATAAACCTAAACCCCAATAAAGTTTCCACTTCAATTCTTTTTTTATATCTTTATGCTTTTTGTTTGTTCTTTGTTTGGTTCTCTGGGGTTAAAAGGATTAAGTACAAGAAAGATTCGATTATGTAAGATAAAACCTCCTGTGAAGAGAGATTCAGTGAACACAAAACAAAGAAATGCTGCTGGGTTGGGTTAAAGACGTGTTCCAGGGATGCACACCAAACTGGGATCGGGAATCTCTGATTAAAGAGCTCGACTTTGTTAGTAGGATATTATTCCGAACAGAAGATCCACTAGGTACTAAACTATTGTGAATTAGCAGATCAACATCTTAGAATTAATGTTTTCGAACTTAAATTAATAATGGTAAGTAAGTGTATGGTATTTTGTTTATTTATGAATTATTATTATTCTGATTAGTCTTGGACGTTTTCCTTACCATGTCACTGAAGCTTGATATTGAGAGCTAGAAGAAAGTAGAGAGGCAGAGCTAGAGAGAATTGCGAGGCTGAAGCAAGCAAAGTCAGACATTCTCCAGATAAAATCTAATGAAGCAAAGTGGAGGCTGATTGGTGGATTCTTTGTAAGGACGTGGACAATATTCAAATGCTAGATGCAAAGCTGTTTTGATAACTTGATTTGCTAACAACCCCGTCTGTTTATTCTTACCTTCATCACCTTATCTCTTAAGAGTTGCACAGATTTTTTATTCCTTTCACTTGAGAAACAAATGCTTATCATTCATTTGTTCCTAATATTGACCACTCTCTTCTGTTTTTCTTTGTTTCAGGTATGTGCAGGTTGCAGAGTTTAAACACCTCCTCCGTGTTAAGCTGACACCAAAGAGTGAATACTTATGTCTACCTGTTGTAAGCCATGACAGAACTCTCAAGCTTCCAACAGCATATGGTACTACAACCGCTTGATGTTTGTGCACCAGTAATGGAAGAATCCTAGGTCAGTCTTATATGCTTGCTCCGACGGGATTGTGCATCGGTGGCACAAGGTACATAGTAATCCAGTGAGAGCCATATGCTGCATTCGAGGGAAAAGATAACATAAGTGATTATGATGAATCTCTTGCCTTTTTTTGGTTCTTTTGCCTTTTTGTTCCAAGACAGTTGTTTTTAATGAAATAGTGCTACTTTTTGCTTTACAGTGTCGGGATCTGGTGGTGTTTCAGTCACGAAGACCACCCAACCTTTGGTCTTTTCTCAATCATACAGAGGCTTGGTGAGCTACTGCTATGTCCATGTCACCAATATTGTCTTCATATTGAGAGGAAAACTATTTATATTATCGATCATTTTAATATTCCAACTGTGTCTTACTTTCTATCATGCGATGGATCTCGGGATTGTATGATTCTAAAGCAGTCTGGTATTGTCTTCATTTGTGTCCAGTTGAATATTGTAATTCATGGCAATGTCGTACCATAGCTGTTTTGTAGAGTTTATGATTAGTTCNTTTAATATTCCAACTGTGTCTTACTTTCTATCATGCGATGGATCTCGGGATTGTATGATTCTAAAGCAGTCTGGTATTGTCTTCATTTGTGTCCAGTTGAATATTGTAATTCATGGCAATGTCGTACCATAGCTGTTTTGTAGAGTTTATGATTAGTTCTGGATATTTTTTTTTTTGTGGTGTGTTCAAAGGAAAAAAAAAATCTTTCTGAATCCCAATGTATAATTGATTCACAAGATCATAGACACATCTAATTACATTACAACGAACAATATAACTAACGAGTAATCCCGTTTTTCTTACTAAAGGCATAACCAACAAGTAATCCATGTACATCATCAATCCACTGAAGAAAGAAAAAGTGAAAAACAAAATCTTAATGTACCAAGTTCTAGACCAAACCATTGAAAAAGATATCTCACATTTTTCCTACTATTGTAACATACTTACATTCACGCTGAAAATGCGTCAAAATATGCAAAAATTATATGTACTACAATAAATTAGATAATTAAAATAAAAAGTTAACCTAATAAAAGTTTTAGAACATTACTTAGAAATTTAGTCTACAAATTTACCAGTTCCTAAAGTATTATATTAACTATAATTATTCAGATATAGTTTTTTTTGTAGATTACACAAGTTTCTAAAAAACAACAACACAGGAGTTCAGTTTTGTTCCTTTTACCCAACTAATTTATAATTGGAGAAACTTAAATTTAAAAACTATTTTGTAAAATTAATTTTATAATAAAAATTAGTTTATAACTAAAAATAATAAGAAACAGATTAATAAGACACAATCTAATTTTGAAATGATAAAGATAACACAAAACATAAGCTACGCTTGCCAAGCATCTGCATAAACTGCCAAAATGTTGCAATACACAATAATATTTTTTTGGTTTGGGTTCCATTAGAAATTTAGTTTGACAAAACAAATCCATAATCTAATTTTGAAATGATAACTTTAAGATAAATGAGATGAACATATTGACTATTCACGTGTATAAAGTCTTTCAAATGTAACATATTTTCATACAAAAATAAAAACAAAATACTCTAATGTAATTTAACAAAATTATCATGTATATATTATACTGATAGGATAATAAAATTAATATATCTTCATATCTCTGAGTAGATAGTTTATTGTCTAAGATACCACTAATAAAATGTTCTAAATTTAAAATCAAAAATATAAATATTAACAATTAACCATATATTTAAATTATGTATCAAAATAATTAATATTATTAGAAAAACCGGCGCGTAGCGCCGGAAAACCCCTAATACTTAATAAACAGAGACATAATAATAGTTCGTTGTCAAAAAAAAAACAGAGACATAACCATCTCTTATATCAAGTCACTTGACAAATCAAATTCTGACAAATAGAAAATTCTTTTTTCAGAAAAAAATTATTGAAAATTTCTCATCCCTAATTTTCAGCAACTCCATTCTATATTTTATCAAATCTCAACATTCACGCTCAGTGCTCACGTTTCAACTGTTTTTCTTATATGGTTAACTAATATACTTTTGTTTCCCCTTTTTCTTTCATCTCTGTTATCAGTTTTGATCTCTACGACTCCTTATATATTTTTTACAGCAATTCAAAACTTTTGTTATCTATCGCATGGATTAATACTTAAGAATCCATTATCAACAAAACTTTAGATAGATACAATGAAATTATGGGAAGAGGCTGATACTGGTACGTTGATTTTGAAGAGTTTCTATATTATCTCATTGCAGAATAGTTAACTTAAAAGCTTCATCTATCTATTGATTTACATACTCTGGAGATCAAAATTATTCTCACGAAAAGCCCATAACTACACTCACATGCAGTGAATTTGCAGTCAGACAAAGGGGACTAAAAGAACAAGCATCGTTACTTCTTTTTTTTATTTAAGCTATTTTCCATTTTAAAATTTTTTTTTTTATTGATGCTACATGTCACTTTGATAGGTTATTACAAGTGGGGTGAATTGGAGAGTTCACCGCAGGGGTGAACCCAAGTTTTGTTCCTTAAAGGAGAGGCATGCCACGTCAATTAAAAAAATCATCCAATCATAGATCTTCAAACAGCCACCTCACACATGCTTTTATTCTACAGAATAAGCAGGTTCTCTTCGTCGCCATCGTTTCGTATTTCTGCAAATCGTCGTTATCAGATATCACTCTGCATCTACAATACCATTTCACCTTTTATAGACATCAAACACATTGCATCACTTGGAAACCCTTTTCCTAAAACCCTAAATCTCCACAACGAAACAAAGTTCCTCCGTAGCCTCTCTCTCTCTCTCAGTCACGACAAAGCAAATCAAGATGTTGGGGAGGAACGTTAGGTTAAGAAAAGAGTATCTCTACAGGAAGAACTTGGAAGGTGATGAGCGTAAGCTCTATGAGAAGAAGCGCAAGATAAGAGAAGCCCTCCAAGGTTCGACTGATTCGTTAACAATCTCTCTATTAAGGTTTCTCTCACTAAAAAAAAAAAAAGAAATAAAGGTTTCTCTCACTGTTTATTGATTTTGATGCTTTTGTTTATGTGTAAACAGAAGGGAAGCCGATTCCTACAGAGCTTGGTAAGGAGGAGGCGAAACTTCGACAAGAGATTGATCTAGAAGATCAAAACACTTCCAGTAATAATTCTACTTGTGTCGTGGTCTTCTTTTTTATACATAAGAGGTGTTTTTCCTATGTTGATAATTGATAATATGCATTGGCATTTGCGTTACTGGATATCATAGCTTGCAAAGTGAGGATGATCTCAAGAATTCTTTGATAGATGACTTATGTTCCATGTTTATATTCCAATAGACTTTCAAGGCCGGATTTCTTACCACAAGTTTGTGGCTTCATCCTTTCTCCAATTTGTGAAAACTGCTGTGAATTTCTTTTCTCAAAACTTTTCATTTGCAGCTGCAATTACATTTAATTACGTGATGAAAGGCTGGTCAAAGGTTTGAAAGTCCTTCACAAAACTGAGCTATGATTATCATATGATTCTGCATAAGTACATAAATTTGCTCCTGATTCTTGATTTGATTTCAAAGCGAGACGTCTCTCATGAATTCTTTTTTATTGTAGCTCATTGTATATTCACA